CATTAGCACCTCTAGTAATATATTTACTGAGAAAAATGTTGACGTGTTCAATACTTATTTTACCCGCTGTATGATGTGCTTCTGTTTTTTTTTTAATTCAGGAGGTTATAAACATAATCCTTCATGTTATGAAAAGACCCTCTTGATTCAAGAGAAAACTCCAGTTTTTAAGAAAATGGCTGCTTATCAATTAATTGTTAGTCAATCTATAAGATAAATCAACTTCAGATTAATTAATTAATCAATAACCTGCATCCTTAATTTATACATGAATGAAATTAATTTATATCTACTCATATTTATGTAATTAAGTGTTTTAATGATTTGACCGATTAATCGAAAAAAATAATCGACAGATAAATCTGTTATTAAAATAATCGTTAGTTGCAGCCCTAGTGGCTAACCCAAGACCAAAGACTCCAGAGACCAAGATAAGAGCAATCCTATCGGACTACTGGCCAATCACCTGTCTTTGTACAACATGAACACTCCATGGGGATTCATAGCAGCTAAGATGAACAGGTACATGGGTAAATACCTAAGCGAGGCACAGAGGCTAAGCAGCAACATCAACAAAAATATATACATGTATATCAAAAACATCATCTTAGCTTGATTATTTGCCAAAATCTACTCTTAAAATTTTGAGTAAACAACCATAGATTCTCATATCAGTGAAAACATCAGGTTTTCTTTATGAACACGAAAACATTGAAAAAGAAAATGTTTTTACATGGATTATTTAATAATAATCACACTGGAAATCATATCACTGAAAAAAGATTATCCATGAGAAAAATACATTTTTCAGAAGAGCTGTGCAGTAAAAAAATCTAAAAATATGTTATGTGCAGCCGTCAGCTTCTTAATAATTTAATAAATTTATATTTCTTCTAACTGATGAGACAGAGTTAAGAGTTTGGACGAAAGAAAATTGAACCTGGTTAGTTCATCATACCAGTGAGCTTGTGTCACTGCTTGAAGACTGCTGAAGTTCAGACGCATGCCCTTGTAAACAGTTGTACAGTTTTCTGAGGGCCTTGTCTCCACAAGCACGGAGTTCTTCTCCAACAGGGTCATCTAATAGTTTCACCTCTGTGAACTCCAGTTCCCACACTGCATCCACCCAGTCTGGAAATCACACACACAAAAAATATATCAAATTAATTACAGAATTCCTGTTCTATTTTGTGTATCACATTAGGTAGTCTGCTAAAAGTTCACTTTTCTGAAAAAGCTCTACTACGTTGACTACTGGTACAATCAAACTGATCTGAAACTTCAACACATTTTGGATAGGAAGCAGCATTATATATAACAGATTCAGCAGGTAAGTTAAGGCTGAGTTAATTGTCTAATGCAGGGGTTCTCAAACCTTTTGGGTCTGAGGACCCCTTACATCGGTGATAAAAATTCCAGGGACCCCCCTCATAAACCCCATGCCGTTTTAAAAGATAATTTATTGCCATTTCAACCCCTAAATGCCATGGGAATATATGTTTTCATTAAGTTTATTATGTTTGACTTATTCGTTCATTGTTCTCCATGCATTTTTAAAAAATAAAAACCAAATTAACAATTTAGTGAAATTTTTTGAGGACCCCCAAGATACCTCTCATGGACCCCTGGGGGTCCTGGGACCCCAGTTTGAGAACCTCTGGTCTAATGGAAAATCAAAAATGACTTGAAGCGAAACAACACGTCGGAAAAATCGTCTCGCAGCCTTTTAAGTTTTAAGACACATACAAACAGACAATATTATAAACTAAATATTATGAATGATAATAGAATAAAACGAAACAATTTTGTCTCTTTTTACCTGTAGGAACTTCATTTAATCTCAGAAAGTGTAGCGCAGACATCAACTCCATCTTGTTTTTAAAAGAGCCCGCCAGCGGGAGTAGCCGCGCATGCGCACTTTACATTTTTCTTCTTCTTGATCACTTTTTGGCGGTTGGCTAACAACGTTTAAGTTCATTACCGCCACCTACTGATGTGGAGTGTGGACCGGATCAGCGCTTAGTAAAATAAAAGATTTCAAACAAACGAGTTTGTTTCAAATATTGTATTAAAGCTCGAGTACGATGTAACCCACGTTGAAATCTGACATAAATAGAAATAAATAGTTGCCCATGTTAAAATCTGACATAAATAGGAATAAATAGTTGCCCATGTTAAAATCGGACATAAATAGGAATAAA